GTAGGCGGGGGGTCCAGCGTTCGACAAACGCTGGACCCCCGCCCACGCGCCGTGCCATTGGTAGGGGTCCAGCGTTTGTCAAATGCTGGACCCTCCAAAAGCACGGCCCGTGGGCGGGGGTGCAGCGTTTGACAATCGCTGGACCCCCCGCCTACCGCCCGAGGCATTGGCAGGGGTCCAGCGTTTGACAAACGCTCGACCCCCGCCCACCCGCCGTGCAATTGTTCGGGGTCCAGCGTTTCAGGAATGCTGAACCCCTCCAAAAGCACGGCCCATGGGCGGGGGTGCAGCGTTTGACAAACGCTGGACCCCCCGCCTACCGGCCGAGGCATTGGCGGGGTTCCAGCGTTTGACAAACGTTGGACCCCTCCAAAAGTACGGCCGGTGGTCGGGGGTCCAGCGTTTGTCAAACGCTGGACCCCCGCCAAAAGCCCGGCCGCTGGGCGGGGGCAAACGTTGGACCCCCGCCCACCGGCCGTGCTATTGGTGGGGGTCCAGCGTTTCAAAAACACTAGACCCCCGCCTACAGGCGGTGCTTTTGCCGTACGCTGGACCCCCACCAATAACATGGCCGGTGGGCGGGGGTACAACGTTTGTGAAACGCCGGATCCCCTACCGGCCGGGCCATCGGCGGGGGTCCCCTCCGTGAGTGCAATCTCGCCTCCTCCGTGGCACTGCAAGCAGTTCGCCATTACCATTTCGATCCCCTCCTCGAGTGCTATCTCGCCTCCAACGTGGCATTACAAGCAGTTCGTTATGACATTTTCAAACGATTTCTGAAAAAAAAATCAGCGAAATGTGAGGGGTGGGGGTTCGATCCCCTCCTTGAGTCCTATGTCGCCTCCTACGTGGCATTACAAGCAGATCGCCCGCTACGTGGCTTTTTCAAAGGAATTTTTCGAAAAACAAGAAACAGTGAAATGTGAGGGGTGGGGATTTTATCCCCTCCTCGAGTGGTATCTCGCCTCCAACATGGCATTACAAGCAGTTCGTTTTCACATTTGCAAAGGATTTTCGGGAAAAAAAAAAACAGCGAAATGTGAGGGGTAAGGATTCGATCCCCTCCTCGAGTGGTATCTCGCCTCCAACGTGGCATTAC